TCACGCACACAAGCACACTCTTTCTCTTCGTCTGTCTCGGCCCCTCTCCCTCACACACCAACTCAAACACCCCGGCCAGATCTCTCCCCTGGAGTCTCTGAGTCTGTCAGTCCGTGTGCTCACATAGACAGTGAGCCAGGCTGCCAGTGGGTCTGTCAGTCTGTTGGTCTGCCAGCCTGTTAATCAGTGTGCCAGTGATTTAATTGATCAGTCTGTCAGTCAGTGTGCCAGTGAGTCAGTTCAGCACGTGAATGTGCCAGTCTGCCAGGGAGTTCACGATGCATGTGCCGGTCAGTGAGTGTGTAAGCGAGTCGCTAAACTGCGATCTTTATCTCGTTACACCTGTAAGCCTTCGGTCACGTGACTCGCCCGCTTGCACACCTGCAGTCTGGCGGTTCCAGCTGCCTGTGAGCAGCTGCTGTGCTCCGGCCTGATTTGTAGATTGTGTGTTAATTGAGAACAAGCCATTTGAAAATTGGGGCTGTAAAAAGAACTGTTATATTTTTTTTCTTATGGATTTTGGCTTGCCGAACTGTCTCCCCAGCATGACCGAGCCTTAGAGTGCGATTTACTTACAGAATTCAGACGCCGCGTGCGGATGAGCTCTCAACATTTTAATTCCCGACTAATCCTCATTAAAGCAAATACAGCTGTAATCTGAAATTGGGAATTCCCGCAGGCTTTGTCATTTTAAAGCATGTTGTTTTTAGCATGCTGAGCAGGTAAATGCGCTGACCCAAACTCGGGATGAGCTCTGTGATCGCAGGTTCGAGCTGTGACCTGGGTTCCCCGAGCAGAGGTGCTCCGTCAGAGGGTGGGGTGGGATTAGTCTCTCAGGACTCTCTCAGCTCTCGCTGACCCCCTGTGGCCTCCTTGGTTCTAAGGCTCTTGGTGCTGTGGGTGAGGGACAGGCCTCTCCTCCAATCAGAGCTCACCGTTCAGTAAGGGGAAGGTACTGTGTGGGATGAATAATGCCTCTTCTCCAATCAGAGATGCTCTTCCAGTAGGGGGCGGTACTGCAAGTGAGGGATGGCCCTCTCGTCCAGTCGGAGTTTGATGCTCCGGTAGTGGTCAGAGAGAAGAGAAGTGAAAAACAAACTGACTGGTCTAATTTCTTACTTGAAAATCTGTTTGGGTATTAAAAAAATCGCTGGTCATTCTAAAGTGAAAAACGGCTAGGCTTTGTCAGCTTTATGGGACACGCGTCACAGACTGTTCATTTAAACCCGGCTTGATGCGCTGAAGCCTTTGTGAGGGTATCAGCTGAGCTTTGTTTTCTTTCCATCGTGGAACTGCCAAGCTCCAGCTGGGTCCGCCCGCCCTTGAGGACCTCACACAGTGAACCCCTTCCACCAAAGCGACTGGGGGGTGGTGGAGCGACTGCAGCTCTCGTCCACGGGGGGGCGCTGTTGCCCAGTGAACTCAGGACAAACCCAGAGCAAAGTCCAGTCTGGTGAACCCCGCCCGTACTTCACTGAATGTCCCCCCCACCACACGGGGAGTCCCAGTCGCAGTCAGCCTGTGACACAGCCCGGACTTGAACTGGCAACATCTAGACTAGAGGGCACAGCATCTCTGCTGTGCCACCCATAATTGTTAGTGGTCCAGGAAAAACTCCGGAACTCGGAACCCCAAAATCCCAAGGGAAGCCTTTTAGGGATTTTCATATTTCCCACAGCCAGTGCCGAAGTCTCGTGACCATGACTCTGAGGCTTGTGGCTGTCGCTGCTCGGGTTATTGCTGACCCCATTATTGCTATTCTGATGGCAATGGCTTCTGCTCGGATGCAGAGGTGTTTACAGGTCGTTCCGGGAAAGGAGAAGGGTCAGTCCCGTAATGGCTTTTCCATCTTCTTTAATCACTTTGTCGGTTTTATCTGCGACTGTTACTTGAAAATCTGTTCTATTTTCCCGAGGCAAATGGAAGCACATTACTTCCGCCCTTTTAAAATGTTTTCTGCTCGAGCGCACCAGTCTGAGTGCGAGAGCTTGGGAGCCTGTGTGCGTGAATCAGGGAGAGAGGACACGGGGGCAGTAATAGAGAGGATTCGTTGTTTCTGGGAAGAGTCTTGACCCAGAGTGCTCTTCTCCCTGCTGGCAGTGGGAGCACAGTTAGTCCTCTTTGGACAGCTGGGTCTGTCTGTGTCCAGTTTCTACGGCCAGGCTGTGGTCACTGAGCCTGTCCTCTCTGGACAGCCAGGTCTGTCTGTGTCCAGTCTCTACGGCCAGGCTGTGGTCACTGAGCCTGTCCTCTCTGGACAGC